TCCTTATAGAATTACCATTACCCATAGTGACTTCTTCTGGCCCATGATAGTCATGGCCCATGATAGTCATTAGCTGTAGCTAATATCTTAGCATAATTGGTGATATGATGATTAGCACCCGAATCAATTAGCCAAGGTTGTTGATTCTGAGAATATGAGGCTGCAAAGTTTGCTCTTGCTTGAAGATGATTATGAGATTCAGACCTGCAGACATGAGCAGTATGACCTGGTCGATCACATAGTTGACAGCGAATTGGATTGTCAAAGGTTTGTTGTTGATTAGAGCGTCGGCCACGCCCTCGAGTTGAAAACTGTTGTTGTCGCCATGAAGATGATTGCTCAGAATTGTAATTTGATGTCCTTTGTCCAGTAGAACAATGTGAGGTGGAATTGGGCTTTGTAGCAACCGCAGCTGTAATGGCAGGATTTAATTTTGGCTCTTCATGTTGAAGAAACAATTCATGATCAAGAAGTTTGTCATAGAGTTCTTCATATGAGATGGTAGTGTCCCGAGATCGAATCGCGATCGAATCGCAACAGAAGAGTGATTTGTACGTCAGCAGCCAAGTCCTTGTAAAAATTCGAACACAAGTTGAGAATTGGTGAGTGGTTAACCACAGTTGCAAGTTCATTCAGCAATAGAACGAATTTCACGAAGATAATCAACAAAGTGCGAGAATCTTTGGTAAAGCGAGCTATTTATCTTGAAGGCTGAAATCTCTGGTTTGAGATTTTGTTAGCAAAGCTGTATGTAAAGATTGCCATGCTTTTATGAGCAGTAAGTGAAAGAGCAACCTAGGTGAATGCATAGTAGGATACAGATGCCAAAAGTGATTATGGACTGCGCTTATTTTACGAAACCATTGATGATAGCTGGGTTTGGTTGATTAGTAGTGGAAAGAGTTTGTGATGGGGCTGCAGTTTGAATCATCAAGATGTCCCGTATAAGTGTGACCATACATGAACATCTTCAACATTTGCAGCTTTCCAAATAGTGAAATTGGAATTTCCACTCATCTTGATAGGTAATTAGCCAGTGGGATTGAATTGAAAATAGACTGATATTGGAATGAAAAGTCCAGCATTTGATAATGGACAACAGCATGGCAAAGAGGAGGACAAAAGAAAAAACACTTTGGCTTGTGGAGAAGCCTTAAAGCTCAGCATTGATAACTGGAGCAGCCATGGCAAAGAGGAGAGGAAAAAGAAAAAAAAAAAACTTTGGCTTGTGAGAGCACTTTAAAGCTCTGATACCATAAGGAAATATTGAAGAATATGAATTGTAATCTGATTCTATTGCTATCATGAAGGTACAATATATATACAGCAGCAGTGGCCTTATAAACCTTAACAAACTAAACAAATCTTAACTAATAACAAATAAATAACAAATTTATAAAAAGCCTAGAATGAAGGACGAATCATATAACAGATATGATTCTTAGGATTCTGTTTTAAAAAGTAATTCACAATTTCTGAATGGAGGTTAGTTTCTTTTTTGTCGCTTTTCATTTTTTATTTTGATTATTATTTGATGAGCAGGCTTTGATATTCTTCGCGGAGGGCTTCCGTTTTTCAAACTTTTCAATGAACAACACATTATCTTCTTGATCATGTAGTGATTTAGTACTCCATAATCATGCTCTATAATAAGGATATAGAAACTATGTTCATATATAGCTAATATGGTCTTAGAATACATATAAATCAGAAGTCCCTGCATATGGAAACTCAATTCGTTCGTTGCTATGTTTCTTTATTAAAATTTTTTATCTACTAATGATTTGTTTGTTTTGTTTATTTGTTACTGCTACACAACTCTTATTCAAATATATAGGTCTGACTTCTCTAAAGAGTACAAGCAAAAACACTAAATATTTGCAACTTCAAAGTGTTCTAAAATAATTAGAGTCATTGGAGTCAAAAAAGTTCATGAGTACTTATATTGGAGCTGGACTCTTCAACAAAGATATGGAAAACATTAATATTTTAATATTAAAAGAAAGTGTGCTGAAATAATATTGTTTATTGAGTTTAAAAATCAAAATAATGATTCGATTATGTTTGACTATATAAGAAATAAAAGTGCGGTTGAAATATTGAAATTTGTTTTAAATTTGATGCCAAATACCACCAAATTAATAAATAAGTATATGTAAATTTATTTGCTATACTATGTATGGGTTGTAGTATACAATTTCTTTTTTTTTAAAAAAAAAAAATCTAAAATCATCAAACATACAACACAGAAAATTAATTCCAATAATAATATAAATATAAATTTATGTTAAAAAAATTCAAATATTCAAACATTTATATTCACAACGCTATTCTTAATATTTAATTTAATTTTATTATTAAAATATTAGAAAATTATAATGACTTATTTTATTTATTTCAATGTATTTCATGTTGGACTATTTATCTATATTGATATTTATGTAGATGATAATATTATAGGCAAGTATTATTATTTTTTTTATTGCTTTTACTCTCAGTTATTAATGTAATTGCTTACTTTTTATTTTTCAGTAAATGCATTACACTAATATCGTATTTCTCATTTGTGTTTTTTTTTAAAAAAATATCATTTTTTTTAGTTTATGTATAAACATACTCGCACGCGAAACACGAAATAACGACTAGTTTTAATAATATACCTTAAAGTCATGCGTTTAATCTAGTTTAAAAATACTAAGTTGGCGCTCTATTTTATCTACATTATATATTTCCTTTTTTTAGGAATTTTTGAGCTTTTTTTCTTTTACATAACTATTTTTTAAATTAAGATTTTGTTATATATTATCTATATTTTTTTTTCTTTTTTTTCCTATAATCTAATAATCTTAATCTCTTATCTCTATATAATAATAAATATTACTTTTGAAATCTAACGATATGATATCTCTGCCAAGATAATTATAACGTTCAAATTTTTGAAATTTTTTGTTATCTATCTAATGATATAATCAGCTACATGTATCAACATAATGAGATCACCTTTTTCCATGAGCCAATTTTCCATTATCGCAGAGAAGTTGGAGCTAAAGAGGTTGGTAGCATGCTAGCTTTGAATCTTGTACTAAAGGTCTTTTTTCCTTTTCTTTTAGGGAAAAAAAATTGTTTATTGATCTTTTTTGAAAAAAATTTTAATACAAGTAATTGGTTGAGAATTATCAGGGAAAGGTTTCTTTAATAGCAGAGGATGGTATCCACCAACTTCACATATTCATTTTTGTGCTTGCTGTTATGCAAATTGTGTATAATGTTTCCATTATGGCTTTTGGCAGCACTAAGGTAATCAAATTACTTAGTTAAAATGAAATTAATACTTCTTGTATCGTGTGAAATTCTTAGATGTTGTATTTTATGCTTTCTTCTTAAATAATATATAGATGAGACGCGAGAAGGAAATTCAAACTACTGAATATCGCTAATAATGTACTTTTAAATCTCAAATTTTATTAATTTTCATAACAAAAATGTCTTTTCAAATAATTTTTTCATTCTCAGTCAAAGTTGATTATCTGCATTGAGATGCGGTTTATCATGGTAATTAACTAATTAATCATCATTTGAAGCAAACAATTTTTTTTATTGCAAGTCATGGCAACAAGACCTCAATTTCTAGCTTTTTTTTTTTATTTTTTTTTATTTTAAGTTTAATATGTTTTTCTATGTTTTTAATATGTATTTTTGAAGGGAGTAATGCAACATTATTCTAAAGAGTGATCAAAATTTATTTATAGATTAACAGATATATATGTAATATATAAAATATTTATCTATTCAATTAGTAGAATTATTATTGAAATTGTAATAAATTTTATTTAATCTTTTTGTTTAGATAAATGCTAAAGAATATATAATATTTTTGATATAATAAAACGGCCAGCACATCCAGTTGTAAAATAAAAGAATATAAAAAAAATTCTCCCTTTTTAATAATTTTTAAATAAATTTTAAAACCTTTTATCAAAATTTTTGTCTTTTATTATTATTATTATTATTATTAATGATGCTACATAATTAAAAAACTTAACATTGTCTAATTTTGTTTTCAAATTGAAACCAAACTAGAATTAGCTGTTTGTAAATCATGTTTCAACCGGTTAGAATTGATGGTGTCAACAGTTCAAACCGACTGTTCTAAAAAACTTTGAATTTTAAGTGTAACGGTTAGAATTGGTGGTTCTATCGGTTCAAGCAGACGGTTCCAACCGGTTCCAGTAGAAATTTTTTTTTTCAAAAATTTTTGTGAAATCTCTAAATTAACCCTCATAACAACTATAAACGGATATATAACAGTTAATTTTAAGAGTATTTGTGAAAAATTGATTTTTTGGATTTATTATCAATACTCAATTATTTTCATTTATTTTCACACAAAATTATTTCTCTCTACTACTCTCTACTTTTACTACTTTTACTTTATACTACTCACTACTCTCCAATCTCTCTAATTTTCATTTATAATTATTCTACAATTTATTCTCAAACAATATCTCGAAATTCCAATCTCTAATTATTCTCTCTAATTTTTTTATTCAATTTTTTAAAGTTATATATTATTATTAAAAATAATAAATTAAGTTAAAGCTTTTTTTTTAAAAAAAAATTTCTTAAGGTTTTCTAAAATTATTTCATAAATATTTAAATTTTAAATTTTCAACAAAAAAATCTTTCCTAATTTCTGATTTTATAATTATGTGATTCACAGAAAAATCGATCAGAGAATTAGTCAGAACTATCGGTTTTAAAACCATTGAGAAGCTGAAATTAAAACTGTAACTATTTAGTTTCTCACCCTAATCGAAACTATAGCCACCCCAAATCGGAACTTACGATTTTGAAACCAAAATCAGGATTCGCGAGTCATGCCTAATTGCAATATGAGTCCTCCACTCGACCAAAAGCACAAAGTTCAGGGACCAAAATGGGTTTTGCTCCATTGTCATCTCAACACCACTAATAATTTAAAAACAAAGGAAAAAAAAAAAAAAAAAGAATGGCAAAAGCAAAAGTATCAACTGGTTTAGAAATGAAGACACCAGAACCAAACTAATCTCTATTTCAACAATGGCTGTGAAATTGAATGGCACCGTTAGTGTGAATTTAAGCCTGAAGCTAAACCCATTAGCCAAATTTGGAACAAAAACAGTTCAATTTTCAAAGCCTCAAGCAAAGTTGCTGTTCAAATCATCATCTTTATGTAGAAAAGGTGTCAACTTTTGTAAGTGTTCTGTTTTGGATGGGCAAATAATCTCATTCACTGACTCCGAAACTCAGTTGATTGATGCGCTTCTTGGGATTCAAGGCAGAGGCAAATCCGCATCTTCTCAGCAACTCCAGGTTTATATATATCTTTTTTTTAAATATATATATATATATATATCTTCTTCTTCTTCTTCTTCTTCTTCTTATTATTATTATTGCTTAATATTGCTTAATTGTCTTTTTTGTATATTAAAGATGATAAAAGAGGGTTTTTTTTTGCAGGAAGTGGAGCGTGCAGTTAAAGTGTTAGAAGGCTTAGAAGGCGTACCTGAACCTGTATGTGATAAGTTTCTTACCAATTTTCTATTTTCTTTCATTTATTTATTTTATTTATTTTTAGCATTGTGGGAGGGTGAATTAGAAGCATGGTTTAATTATTTAGTAAATTTGTGGAATTCATTTGAAATTCCATGTTTTCATGTTCAGTCTGAATGAAAATGTTCATTTACTGCATGAATTCAATTTTAAGGAATTCAACATAATTAAGCTAATTCTATTGCTTGTAAATGAATTCAATACTTGAATTCAGTTCAATTAGTTGTAGAATGAACCAAGAAAATTTTCTCAGGCTACATTGTCTGCAAGCATTTGATGTTATTGCTTTTCTTTTGTTTATGTTTTTATAATAAAAGTAATGTTTCAAAAATGAAATAAAATTAGATAATAAGATGACAAGTGGGAGGGGAACAATAGATGTTTGGAGAGGTGGATGTCTTTTTGTAAAAAAACTTTATTGAATTGAACCTTAGCAATTTCCAGTAGAATAGGCTATGTCTTAGTTTTTGTTTTGGTATATAGTATAATCTATTGTTCTTTGCAAATGCTCACGTCTCTGAATAACTACAGACAAACTCAAATCTAATTGAAGGTTGCTGGCAATTAATGTTCACAACTCGGCCCGGGACAGCATCTCCGATTCAGGTTACAGCTCTTCTCTGTCAATTTGTTGCACTTTGAAAAATCCTGGTTTCATATCTTTTGTAATAAGACTCTTGAGTTTATGAACCTCTACAACAAATATTGTGTCTAATAGTTGAACGCATTCAGATTCCCAGGATACTGGACTTTTTTTTTTGCATCTGAATATTGAGTGGGTTACACAATAACTGTGGCTTTTGTTGTAAGTAACATAACAACATATAAAACTACTGCTCTTTCACCCCTCAGATATCTTATCATTCCCTGCATTTTGTTTCACTTTTGCAATGGCTTCCCCTCCTCAATCCTCTCACCCCAACAGTGGAATTCAATTCTGTGGTTATTAATGAATATTCGAAGCCTTTACCACGGGGCTGTCTCCTTGCAGACCAAGACTCTACTGCTTTTATGTTAACAAACATAGATAAAAGAATATTTGACTCTTAAGTATTGCAGAATGACTAGTTGATGAAGGGTTAATGTCGTTTGTTACTTCTAGTCGATTATAACTCCCATCCGTGCTGAATTATTTTTTGTGTGATCTGCATATGCTTGCAGAGAACATTTGTGGGTGTTGATTTCTTTAGTGTCTTTCAAGAGGTACAACTTCGGACAAATGATCCGCGGGTATCTAATATTGTAAGATTCTCAGAAGCAATAGGTGAGCTAAAAGTAGAGGTATGGTTTCACTCTCTATTCTTTGTTTGTAACTGCTTTGGAAATTTCTGAATATATTGAATTTATATTTTATTAGAAGAGAGTGACTGCAAGAACTCTGACGCATCTGTCATACGAAAATTATAATCTGCTACTTTCAGTTATTGACAAATCATAGTGTAACCAATTAGCCATGAAAAGGCTCCAAACATTATTTCTGAATTTTTTTTCCCTTGACTCTGTAATTCACATCACCTGCTATTGCTATGGGTAGACAATTGTAATCCCTACAAGTGTCCTATAAATTGCTTGGCGCCTTTCTACTAGATGTCATGTTTAAAGCTGTGGCACATTTTTCCAGTTTCCTTTTCTTTCAACAGAAGATAACCTTCTTAATATAGCAAACGAGCTTACCATGGCTTGATATAGAGGGAACAAAACAAAGTGACTTAAAAAATAAACTTTATTCTCACTTCTAATCCACAAAATATAGATTTTATTAGCACTGTCAGAGATCATTTTTGCTCAGTTTCTTGTCCCATCTTTGCTATAAGTGCCCAGCTAATTAGAGATTTTTAATGATAAAATCGTTGTTATTGAGTAAACTCTTAAAAAGGAATTGTCGAGGAGCATCTGTACTTGCTGTATTACAGTTTCATTTCTTTCTCTTCCTTTTGTTTCATATTATTTATCTTTGGACATTATGATATACAGGGATACAATCTTCAGGTTATGAAGTTGAGTTTGTGCTTTTGCTTTTCTAAGCAATTCACATACGAAAGATGCATAGTTTATGTTGCACAAATCTAATCTTCTGTCTAAAATTTTGCATTTTTTAATCATCTTTGCATAGGCAGCAGCGGGGATTGAAAATGGCAAACGAATCAATTTCAGATTCGACAGAGCAGCATTTTCATTCAACTTTTTGCCATTCAAGGTTCCATATCCAGTGCCATTTAGGCTTCTTGGTGACGAAGCAAAAGGTTGGTTGGACACTACATATTTGTCCCCATCTGGAAGCCTTCGCATATCAAGAGGAAATAAGGTAAATATGGGCTTGATAGTACCCATTATATTAATTGATCCCTCATGTGGTCTTCTTCATTTGTGCGGTAGAGATGCAAGGTTTATTTGTATTTAACGTATTGGTTCCCAAATCTTCTGTTGTTTCAACTTACTAAAGACCTCCAATAATGTTTCTATAGCGCAGGGCACCACATTTGTGCTCCAAAAGAAAATTGAACCTAGGCAAAGATTGCTCACAGCCATTTCCACAGGAACTCGAGCTCGAGAGGCGAGATAAGATCGGAATCAACATTTTAACTAGTGCATTGGATTGTGTGCTTAGCTGCTAATTATTACTTTCCTGTCAACATTGCAGGCTATTGATGAGTTCTTATTGGTAAATCAGAATATAGCTAAAGATGAGCTAGAACTCCTCGAGGGGGAATGGCAAATGATATGGAGTTCACAGGTGACTGATGATATTAGCATCTAGGTTTGAATTACTACCCTTGGCTTGCTTAATATCTATAAATGGCATTAAACTATGAACATATTCATCTAGGTTTGATTACTCAAATCCAATGAATATGTCTATTTATGCATTCGGAATAAATCTCTTTTTCAGTAGATTCTATCTGTTAGAGAGAGTAAAAATGTTTTTGGGCCTTCACCTACAAGTTTGAGTTTTTTCATGGTATCAAAAGCCTCTAACCAAAATGGCTAGAGTAATTTGACAGAATTCTTAGAATTATTATCAGGCCATCATTTACAAGTAGCTCTTAATTTGAGTGGATCATTGACGCCGTTGACTTCTTAATTCATGAGTATTGATGTGACTTTTCCTAGTTTCTGTTTTGTACTTTCTTTTTCTGTTGTAGATGGAGACAGATAGTTGGATAGAGAATGCTGCCAATGGTCTTATGGGCAAGCAGGTATAGAATTTGCAATATCACTTTTTTTTTTAAGAAAATGATTATAATGATGGTAAAACGCATATGACTCTTGCATGACCTAATCCTTGTTCGACCGTATCACTTCCTCACTTTTCTGGTCTTACTTTTTAGATTGTCAAAAAGAATGGTCAGCTAAAGTTTTTGGTTGACATCTTTTTTGGGCTTAGATTCTCCATGACTGGAACATATCAGTAAGTTCTATTCTTCTTTATGAAAATATTTCTATGATTTACATCATGTGATTTTTAATTCTACATATATCAGTAAAGCTATCTGAAAATTTTGCGACACAGAGGAATATCAAAATTATATGCATATTAAAATTATAACTGATTTTTAGATTTGGTGATTCTATTTCTATATTGAGTACTATGCATGCAATTACCATCTGTGTTTTTAATTAGAATTAAAATTTAGTTTTCTGCAAGAACTTGTAATTTTAATGCTATTTTTGTATTGAGAAAGTAAAGGGAAATATTATTAAAGTCTCGCACCTAAATTGGCTAAATGGGTAAGTGTCGAGACTCGTTTATACAAAACCAATTGGTTTATGCTAAGTCCAACACCGATGTACGTAAAAATCATTATATTATTTTGTTATATTTCAATGAGTTTCATTTCTTAACAAATATCTTAAACCATCTTTCACAAATCATATGTAATACGGTATTTAGGTGTTAACTATTACACTTGACATTGATGTGGGATGAGATATGGCAAAAGGAAAGAAAAGCAAAAGCATATCAGCATTTGAGATGATTTTTTTTTTTTAAAAAAAAAAAAAAAAAAAAAGACCGATACCCAATATCTATCAACTATTTGCAGGAAATCTGGTTCCAGCAAATATGATGTTACCATGGATGATGCAGCAATCATTGCTGGGCCATATGGATATCCTATAGAGATGGTAACAAAGATTGAGTTAGAGCTACTGTAAGTTTCAACTCTTCTCCATATACCTCATATATAGAATACATAAATTTGACCTTGAATTTTGACCGATTCTGCTCGTGGCCTTTGAACTTTGTGGGGTTCAATTATAACTTAAAACTTTCACATTTTAGTTATAACTATGCCTTTTGCCAAAATGAAATGTGGAAGTGTAGGGTTATATGATTGATCCCTGCAAAGTTATTTCATTTGGTAAAAAACATTGTTATTATTGAAATATGAAAGTATAAGGTTATGATTGAACCCCGAAAAGTTTACGGAGTCAAAAGGAGAATTGACAAAAATTGAGGATTAAATTTATGTATTAGGCCTCATCTATATGATAGAAGAATTAGTCAAGTTCTTTATGTCTACTAAAATGTAGTATATATTGTAGGTATATCGATGAGAAGCTCAGAATTAGCAAAGGGTATAATGGCATTGTTTTTGTGCACATACGAACTGATGGGATGAAGCAGAAATAGGCCGAAGATTGAATCTTTTGGTGATTTTTATTGTAAATCTACAACCATAAGCAAAGGGGAATTGTATTTGTGAGATATAGTTTTTTCTAATTGATAGGTTCCTTATGAAAATTATGAGATATAATTTGTCAATTAACCTTTCATGAGCTTAGAGAAAAAAATCCCTTCTGCTCTTTTTTTTTTTTTTTTTTTTTTTTTTTTTTTTTTGTAAATTATATTGTTTTTCTAAATCAAATAGGTTTTTATTAGTTAAAAGTATTAGAAAACACAATTGGGGAAAATTCTCAATCACTTTCATTAACTAACAAAGAAAGCTTTGTATAATGTTTATAGAGGATTCTAGCTGATAAAACAAAACTAACTTTGTAATTAACTCTATTTACATAGGCTAACAAACTAACGATAAATGCGAGCTAAGAAACTTTGTAATTAATTCTAATTACATAGGCTAATAAACTAACCTAAAACCCCAGTTAAGGAATAACAAACTGACTTGAATAAGTAACCATCAATTCATCTAACTTGTGCTTTGTTGTCATTTGACATCAATTCATTTAACTTGTGCTTTGTTGTCACTTGACTTTAAACGTACCGTTTTAATAACTTGTGCTTTGTTGTTACTTGACTTCGAATGCATCGTTTCACTATCTTCTTTGCCTTTATCAGTTAATATCGCCCAGTCAAGTTGGAGAATCTATGCCAATCATTCCCAGCTTGAGTATGAATGAGCGAAAACCATAAATGGGAAGGGATTTTGTGTTATATGTTAGCCAATTGTGTCACGTCCGACTCCAATCACCAGAGAAATTGTCCACTTTGGATCTAGCCAATTCTATCCCACACTGGATTGGCAAGACCCGTATAGTTTTGTCTCGCAAGTGAAATGGGGAACTTCCTAGGAGATCATCCATCCTAGGATTTCCATTAACCGAGCGTGCTTGATGCCAGAGTTTTCCAACTCTCCAAGCCATTCCATCAAAATGCACCTCTGATGATTCGTTTCCCTCTTTTCGATATATGATCTGATTCATCCATATGTCCCGCATTCCACTACCCATAGCTAGCCTGCCATCTTAGAACCTAGCCAGGAGCTTTACTTTACCTGTCCTCTTAGGATCGCTTTCCCTCGTCAAGATGTCAGAAATTGAGCATGTGAAGGAATCAGTAAGAGGTGTAATTAGTTTAAGCTTTTCACAAACAAGGTGGCAATCTAATTCGATGTGCTTGGTCCGTTCATGAAAGGAGAGATTATTATGATGTGCAGGGCAGATCGGTTATCACAGTAAACACTAACTGATTGAGAATGAGGGATGTGTAAATCATTAAGAATGCATTTAACCCATTGAACCTCACAAGTGGTAGTAGCAAGAGCACAATACTCTGCCTCAGAGGAAGAATGAGAGACAGTTGTTTGCCTTTTGGATTTCCAGCTAATGAGAGAGTTACCTTATAAATAGCATAACCTATGATAGACCTCCTTGTATCAATGCATCTAAGTCAATCAGAGTCACCAAAGGCTTTGATATGAATTGAAGAGGAAGAAGGAAAGAATAAACCTAAGCCAGGTTCCTATTTGATATATTTTAATACTTTATGCAAGGCTTTTTCATGTAAAGTTATGGGAGCTAATAAAAACTAACTCAACCAATTAACAACAAAGGTTAGATTAGGTCGAGTAGTCGTGAGATACAACATTTTTCCAACAAGTTTCCTGTAACCAGAGATATATGTAAGTGGTTAACCAATTGCAGCTCCAATCTTAGTGTTAGAATCCATTGGAGTATAGTAAGGTTTTGAAGCTAAGAAACCTGTTTAGTAAGTAACTCGAAAGCATATTTTTCTTTGGCTAATTTAAATTCCTTTATGGGATCTTGCAATCTCAAAGCCATGGAAGAATTTTAGAGAACCAAGGTCTTTGATCTTAAAAAGACCATCAAGTAATGATTTAGCTCTATTAATCTTAGCCATGTCGTTCCCTACTAAAATGATGTCATCAATGTATACAAGAAGAGCAGTAAAGGAATGTGTCTTGTTGAGAACAAATAAGGAATGATCTGAATGAGACTGAGTATATCCATTTTGAGTCGATGCTTGAGAAAGTTTAAAGAACCACTGCCTATTAGCTTACTTCAAACCATAGAGACTCTTTTGGAGTTTGCAAACCTGATTTGCTGAAACTTGTAAGCCAGAAGGAAGAGTCATGTAGACTTCCTCATTGAGATCACCATGCAGAAAGGCATTATTCACATCCAATTGGTGGGGGTACCAATTGTTAATGGATGCTAAGGCCAACAAAATTCTAATTGAAGTCATTTTTGCAACAGTGAAAAAGTCTAGATAACCTAAGCCCTATATTTGTGTATAACCCTTAGCCACTAACCGAGCTTTGTACCTCTCTATGCTTCCATCTGATTTGTGGTTTATTTTATAAACCCATTTGTAGCCAATTGGGCTCTTTCCTGGAGGGAGAGGAACTAAAATCCATGTTTTGGTTTGAATAAGTGCTAAAATCTCAACATTCATAGCATCCTTCCAAGCATGCTATTTTACTGCTTATTTGTAAGTCTTCGATTTAGAAATGGAAGTGATATTAAAGATGAAATGAAAATAGGAAGGAGAAAGATTTTGATAAGAAAGTACTAAAGATACAGGATGAGATATTGATGTTGAGGGAATATGAGAATTTGTAAGGTTACAGTGATAGTCTTGCAGGTATTGAGGAGCTCTTCTGGTTCGTGATGTTACACCTTACCCCATTGTAAGACTTGGCATGTTGCCCGTAATATGTTTATCAAGTACTTAGTCTATATAAGAACTCAATAAACATATTACAAGGGACTTAACTTTTCATATTCAAAATGCATGTGTGGTATTAATTTCAAACACTATTTAAAACATTTTAGTTATCATAAGACCCACTTTTATAAAAATTTCAAACTTAATAAATTTCCTTTTTATAAAAGATATAAACATTCCACTATTTAAAATATTTTAACTAAAAGTCCATCATAATTTATACATTTACATATTCAAATACATCGGTGAAACCATTACCCATAAGCCCATTAGAAAGAGGATTACGTATAGGATTACGTATAGGATTGTTCCTTTAGAGTCGTTATTATGACAACAAATTAGTTTTAAAGGTAACTAAACCATTCAAGTGATTTATAATGCATATCAGTAATTGTAAACTCATATAACTTTAGTCGCATTAGTTTGCTCTATATATATACATATTAGTGACCAGTTTCTACTTTATACATTATACAAATTCCAATAAAATTATTCATAAGGGTAAAGTAAACTCATATAACTTTAGTCGCATTAGTTTGCTCTATATATATACATATTAGTGACCAGTTTCTACTTTATACATTATACAAATTCCAATAAAATTATTCATAAGGCAATGATTACATCAGTAGCTCACCCTTCGAAAGCTGTAGAAAAAAAATTCAGCACTCTGTCTGACTTACTCTCTTACTTCTCCTTTCCTTTTTCCTGCGATAGTATAGAGAATAACTATCGCTAAGCATAAGGCTTAATAGTGCACTATATACATTACATAATATAAATAATAATTTACCATTAGATATTTAAGTGTGAAAAATAATTTTCAATATTACCTCATTCAAGGTCAATGCTTATCATTTGTTTACTGAAAACAAATCAGTTAGGTAGAAATTACACAAGTAGTCTATCAATTAAATCAATTTATTTGCTTACAAAATAATTCAACTTCTCATGAGATGTTGTCATACATACAATAATCAAATCAATAGTTTTGTTCTCACAGCTTTATACTGACTTCATCCAAAACGGCCATCAATGGTCTACTTGTGCACATCTAGACTTGCTTCTACAAACTCCAATTGTGATATGATTTCAACAGAAGAGGGAGCATCTCAACCTCAAACATGGAGGGATAATTGTTTATTCCATATCAAATACAATATTCAACTTTCAACATAATTGAAGTGATATCAGGTAAAACCTGTCTTGCAACCAGAGCGGTGAATTGGATTTTCTAAAAATAAAAATTTAACTTTTAAAATAAAGCTCAGAATTCTATCTGCAGCAGAAAAGTAATGAACTTGTGATAATGAGTTATTCATTAGAACTATCTCACAATGTTCTATTCAGAAAAAAATAGAAAAACTTTGCAAAGTGCAGCTATCAATTAGAACTACTTCATAGTGTCTTATTTAATATCAAAAACTGCTTTATGATGGAAAGCTATTGTGATTAGAACTTTCTCATAAAGTTTAGAAAAACATGAAAGACTGTGTGATAGACAGTTATCAAAATCTGAACTGCTTCACAAAGCTTTAGTCAAGTTTGAACTGCTTCACAAAGCTTTAGTCAAGTTTAGAAAACTGATTAGAAACACAAGTAGCGAAACATACTGTAAATAGAAGAACAGTTTAGAACTTGATATATTCACTTAGTAGAAGTCCAGAGTTCTAATGTTCAGAAAAGATAAAGCTTATTTCCGTTTTAGAACATCAAAACCATAAACAACTTAGCATTTCTAAAATATAAACAAAAGTGTGAGTAAAATAGTATCAAGCATAACTTCAGAAAATGAAAAGATCAACACAGTGATTTATAGTGGAGCATAATCTTCAGAAATGAAAAGATCAACACAGTGATTTAAATAGTGTTTCAAGCACTAACGGCGCCTACATCCACTCCCCAAGTACTCATCTTGAGACCCTCAACTATGTTACTCTTTCAACGGCGTAAGAGACAAACCAAAAGTAAGCAAGGCATAGATCGAACTCCTAAGATCTAACCCTTGTTCGCCAGCGTAGATTTTCCAAAGGTTCTCGTTAACGCTCAACCCTTTGCTATTTTGTTGTGGCACGAGAGCAGAACAAACCTTAATTTGGGGCCAAAAGGAAAATATAAAATAAGAAAAAGAATAAATCTCTTATGGAGAAGTCGTTTGATATAAAAACCGTATTGGTCACATAGCTTAGATTCAACATAAAGGCTATTACAGCAATGTTTTAATCAGATGAATACCTGTTTGACTAAAGAAGTTAGACAAGAATCTAAATCGAACAGATCAGAATGCAAATAATAAGCACAGGGAAAAACAGTTTTAAAGAACTTAGAAAATTTTTTCTTAGCTAAAATGCAAGAACTGAGTTTCTCAAAAGAAGGTTATATGAT